CCGGCCGCCGTAACAATCACAAACTTAGGGGTTTTTTGTGGGGCACCCTGCATTTCTATCGATTAATCTGAGCTGCACATTTTCACTAATATTAAGATTAACATGAAGAATATTATGTTTTAGCAGTCTGTGAACGCAAAGAGCCGTCCTGCAGACAGCATGCTGTGAGAGTAGTCGAAGACCTCTTCATTAACGAACTTAAATGCATTTGATGTGTATCAGATCCATCCATTTTTTCTACAGGTCGTTGTACGACCAGCTCACATGCAAATACCTCCAAATGCTTCGACTTGGACAAAATAATAGAACATATTGAATATCATCGCATACTGACCGAATGCTGAGATTTATTTTTAGCAGTGTTAAAATCAAAACAGCCAGCATCTCCTACAAACCCAATTAGTTCCCGCGATCGTCAGTTTTCGCATATTTTATTCTTCCCATGAGAAATTCTATCACCTGTACTCTGAAAATGCTTAGTTCACGTAATATGCACGTTTCTTTAACAATACAAACGAAGGATACAACCAAATCCTAAAATTTGTATGATAAACAAGTCTTCTTAAGTCCGACTAAATGCATTTCAGTAAAACGGGCAAAGGATGCCTTGCCGTTGCATGCCACCTAAATTTGTGTGTACGAATTCACATGTTCTTTGTAGATGCAAGTACATAGGGCGCACGCAAAGGCAACTGGCGGCCAGGGCCGCTTAGCACATGTCCAACTGGCTTTTCAAGCAAGAAAACAGAGTACCGCGGTCCTCTATTACTAAACATCTCCTAGACAGCGGTCATTCTGTCGACGTCCAAACAGCAGTTCGAGTATTTGTTCGGGCTCGAACAATTCGAACCTTGCGCTACATGAAGCTGCTTACATACGACGAGAGAAACCTGACCTGTGCAAGAAGCTTGACAACGTGGTCAACCTTCAATTACCCTATTAATTGGTTACTTAGTTTTGATTCCCAAGTGATTTTCGTTTACTTTCCCTCAAGCTCCATCCCCCTTCCTTCCCATACGTTGACTAGTGCAGTGTCCTTTACGTGATCATTACTCAAGCTGAACTATGACCCTTGCTGTTGTGTCATCCATTTTGCGAAATTTCAAACGATTGCATGTTCTCTTCGTTATCATCCTCATGCAGCGACAGGATGTAGCTGAGAAGCTGTCACGAAATTTATTGATGCCAATAAATCCTGCCGTATGTGCGTGTTTTAAATTTGTACCGGGAAACAAGTGCTTCAGATAATCCTATTAAATTAATTTTCAGAACCAAATTATCATGCCAATTGCTACAAGGTATAATAGCTGCAGCATAAACATGAGAATTTATGAGGCAACTTATCGTCACAGGGTGGAACTTCTCTGACGTAAGCACAACTGAGGAGATGGGTGGTTACACTGCTTCTTGAAGCCTCCAGGCATGAAAGACTAAACTATAAAAGGAGCATATCATTTCGTGTTTCCTCGGTGTTCAAGGAGTCAAGCATCTACTGGTTGCAAGAACTTATCAGTCCGATTGAGGTCCAGTCTGTTGCGCAATATATTCCAGGTGAGGATTAACCACATATTTTAATAGTACATCGTGAAAGCTCCTTGCTGTCGCTGTAACTTGAAACAAGTGAAAGATTAGCAATGACACATATGTATCAACCAGTTTCTGTGCCGTGCTTTATCATGCAAAATATACGATAGATAGAAATGCTAAAGCTTTCTGCATCTTACATTTGTTTTTTTGCAAGAAATATTGTTATTTTTAAACTAATCTGAAATACTTTTTGTCACAGCATATCATGGTTTCTCCAAAGTTCTTCCTTCTTCTACTGCCGCTAGGTAAGCCCCGCTTGCAGATGTTTGCAATTCTGCGTGCTCTCTGTGATGTTTACTGTTCATTCTAAGTGAAAACAATTTTTTCTACCATACAGCATATGCTCTGGCAACCGATGCTAAATTCGAGACCGGTGTGCCGAAGGACAGCGACCTACACTTTGTAATTGATCCTGGATTCAAAGTTCAGGTAGGTTACCACTTTTGACTTAAAATCCTTGCTCTCTAGAAAGCCGAACTCAACGGTACTGCCCTCGAAGTGTGTACGGATAAGAAGACTTCAAATTGCTACAAGGACAACGGTAAATTCAGTACAGTAAAATAAACTGATTTGTGTTGCTGTCACTACTGTCACTACTTCCTAATGATCTTCATTATTAACAACCGGCCGCTATGCCATGTCTGCATTTCAGTGACATCCATCGTGAACTTCGTGATAGCCGATTCGGCCAATGTTAAAAACTGCGGTTTGAAGGCGCTTATGGCGTTGAAAAGACCTTTACTGCTAACAACGCAGATACAACGACGGAAAACATCAAAAACGACGGAAAAAAATCGGCGTAGATAATTTGAAGCTTCCATTCGTGCCAACTGTAAGTCACCAATTTCCTCCTACACAAAAAGCTTTGCAATCAGATAACGCTTTACATGATTCACACAGTTGTAGGAATATTTTCGAATAAAATTCAAATTCTTTAAGTATTACTATGGAATTGACTTATATTTTTACTTTAATTTAGAAAATAGTTCTATTAGGAGCCGATGGGAATTTACTAGGTATGGATAAAGAAGTGCCAGACAGCAAGAACAAGAAATGCGTATCAACAGGATCTGCTAATTGCCTTAGTATTATGATTGGTAAGAGTAATTTTTGCGTATTTGCATGTTACCTCGACTATGTTTGTTTGAGTGCATGTACTTCACCAGAAATCTTTCGTTCTACTCCCCATTTTACCTTGCAGAATTCTCGCATATCAACGTGACAGCCACAATCGAGGCGACGGCGTTGTTGCTCAAACTAACTGATGCCGACCAGCCAACCCAAACCATTCAAGCCACCTTCGCTCCCATCTCTTCGGCCATTTGGATGCCACGCTCCACTGCCGTCATCTTGGCCAATCTGGCCATCTTGGCCTATTTCTATTAGCCGCCAGCTAATGCGAAACCCTCCCCCCTGAGCTGGGGTGCTTAGAAATGCAGAAGATGTAGTCTACGAAGTACTTAATGTTTCTTAAGAAAAATAAAATTTTCTCGATAATTTGCAGCTTGTGAAGATGTCCAAAATGGCTATAAATTGGAAAAGGTTACATACCAGGTTAAGTTTCCATTGAATGGGGACAAAACTTAGAAAATGTAAACACTGACCTTTCCAGGTTTTCTTTTGGAAGACCCTCCTTAAAATGGAGCCATCTGTCTGTCTGGACAAGTGGACGTCGAGGAAAGAAAGTTGGTTGTCTCGTTCTAGTTTCATAGTAAATTTTATCTTCGGATGCAGCTTGTTCATAGTGGACACTAATTCCTCAGCTTCTTTCAGGTTCTCCACAATCGTGAAAACATCGTCTACATATCGTCTGTAGATTGTTGTGTGGTTCAATTCTGCGAATACTTTTCCTTCCAGATGGCCCATAAATATGTCTGCAAAGGTTGGTCCAAGTGGACTTCCCATTGCGACACTGTCAATTTGTCTATACAATTGGTCATAAAACAGAAATTGGACATTTTTAGTGCACCGTTGTAATAAGTTCCGTAATAATTGCGGGCACAGGCGTGTGTCAGATGAATAAGCACAGATAATGTCTATGGTTTCATCCAAAGGCACGTTGGTAAACAAGGACTCAACGTCCAGGGAAAACATATAGTTGTCTTGTAAATTGAGCTGGCTGATCTCGTCGATAAACTGGAAGCTGTCTT